CGTATCTAGAAGGGATTAAGGACGATTGATCTTGGCTAATACTACCCGTGGAGGCCGACCTCGTATCTAGATGGGATTAAGGACGATTGATCTTGGCTAATACTACCCGAGGAGGCCGACCTCGTATCTAGAAGGGATTAAGGACGATTGATCTTAGCTAATACTACCCGAGGGGGCCGACCTCATATCTAGATGGGATTAAGGACGAATGAAGAAGAAGGTAGTTTAATTCTGGACGAAAATATTTATACTGAATGAATCTGAGCTGCCCCTTATTTAAGGACATACAAGTATATAATATTGAAATAAATGACATAAGGACAACAGCTATACAAATTATTCGTTAAATATTTTGGAAGAATTAAATCCATGAGTACTTGTTTCTTTTCAACCAAAATATAACCATACAAGAAGTATCTTTTCTAGAGCAAGTGCTGGGTACTGCTATAGCGTGCGTTCTACACAGACACTATCATCACAGTTTCAACGATTCACTAAAACATAATTTCTTGCTAAATAATTTATATATCTCTCCACGTTTTTGTTCAGCACATAATAATAATTTAATAAGTTGTGTGTTCCAAAAGAGTACCTTAAGTTCGGGTTATAATTGTGTTAGTTTTGAATGTTGGAACTTGTTTCATTCCGATTATATTTGCCCCAAAAACGCTATGTAATGGTGTTTTGTACTTTATTAGTTTAAAAGCGTTATTTGTAATAACTGGCGCCAATTGCAAATAAACGAAAGTTAAAACAGTGACGATGAATGTACATCTTTGTTGACCGCACGCTATAGTGTAAATATCTTTGTTGACCGCACTCTCTAGCAGCACCATTATAAAGTCCTCATAATCAAACTATATCTGTCTGCATCTCCCCAAGTTTCCTAGGAGTTAATGCCCCCCCCCCCAAATGTGAGAATATGTAGTTAATAAGTTTGATTTCTTCCCATATAACAGTTTTGGCATCTAAACTAATTCTGTTAATTTAGGTACATAGCAGGTGCAGACAAACGCGAGTCTTGAGTAAGTTGTATCCTTTTTGTTTCTTCTTGAAAGACGTAAATTAAAACTTTATCTGTAAATGCAAGTAACATTGTTTGGTGTAATCAGTTGCATGCATGTCTATTGCTTGATTTGGTTTCAGTTTTGATTATTAATGTCCACAGGTCGCCGGTGTGGTTGGAAGAGCTGAACTCCTCTCAGCTGTCTTCTTTCTGAGTGCCTTGTCTCATTACGTACGGCTTAAACAGCGTTACGACCACGTGGGTAAGATGTCGGATACATTGGTGGTTATTACTTAAATTAAGAGATTTTAATATAGTCGTTTAGTTCTTGATGAAACCAAAAGGTGGAGTAGTACCTCACAATATTATCCATTTTGGATTTTGCGGTCGTATTTTTAAGATTGGCGTTTATGCGTACCTTTTTGTTTCAGATTTAATAAGAGATTTCCACTTTTATATAACCTAAACTATCTGGATCATTTTGATGAAAAAATGTTTGTGTGTGAAATATTATCCCAATGTTTAAAGTTTTGCCAAACCAAAAACTTGAGAGAGAGTGAGAGATGGCTTAATATAGGCAATATAAACAAATTTAGTGCCATTTTATAACATGCAAGTATTTAAATCAACGGTCCACATACTAGGGTTGTTTTCTAGACTTTCTGTGTCTAACCTATGGGCTTGTGGTGTTGACGATCTAATTTAACTCATCGAGATTTTTTATTTTTTTGCTAACTAAATATTACATGGATAATATGGTACTATACCTTCAAGAACTAAGCGTTAAAACGTTCTTCTAAAAAAAGTTGTGTCACGCACCTTGATCATTAATTCCGGTTCTTGTCGCTAGGAGATTTTACCCAAATAATATTTCTTAATTGTTTGTTTGTTTGTTTTTTAAGCACAAAGCTACACAATGAACTGTCTGTGCAGCAGCCATAGCAGGGGTTGAACCCCAAATGTTAACGTTACAAGCCTTCAAAGTTATCGTTGTTCCAAATTGCTGATTGGAAGTAATGATCAGTTTAAATTAAATGCTTTATCACAGAGAACACAAAATAATTAAAAACAAACATCCTCGATTCGAAAGCGGTGTTCTACAGACTGGTGTTTAACAAAAGCGCGCTCGGATGCCCGAAGAAACGTTCTAACACCCAAAAGATGATAAACTAAGATGTGAATGGTACTTTCCTATTGAGAAATTAAATCCGTTTTGTTTTTAAAGTCTCGGTGGTAAGCGATAAGTCTACGGACTTAACAACGCAAAAATCCGGAGTTTGGTTCCCCGCGGAGAACACAGCAGATAGCCCAGTGTGGCTTTGCTTTAAAATAAAACACAAAGTTTGTTTTAAATTATTTTTATCCGTCAATTTTTACCTCAGTGTGTTTATGTATATATATATATATAAAACACGAACCAATAAAGTCTTATTATTATTTTCGATTTTTCTAAGAAGGAAATGTATTATTTATATCGAACTCCAAACAAATTAGACGTTCTCGGTGTTATCAAAGCGCAGAGTGCTTCTTCGTAGAAAGTTGAGTTTATCTTTTTCGTTTTTTTTTAACAGATAAATAAATATAGAGCACCACATGTTTGTAAGAACTTTCTAATTGTACGTATTTCTGAAACTCCAAACATCGTGTCCGTGATCAATAACTTGGAAACCTTTACTTATCGTTATTGATTTTAATTTTTTCAGCTCTCTTATAACACCCCTTTAGACTAATTGAGTGTGAAATTACCTATCATGTACGTTAGGAGTAAAAAAAATAAAAGGGTGATGAGGTGAGGGGGGGGGGTATTCATAAATTTCACAGATTTATAACTCAGTTGATAGACACGAACACACTTTTATACCAGACGACACGTGCAGCAAATATTTCTAACCTATATTAATTGATCAGAAGACGTTATTTTCTAGAGGGGGGGTGGGTGGAACGTCAGTGAAAAGGATCGGGCTCGTTTTGCACGTTTATACAACTGAATTTACTATATGAAATAAAACATCAATTAAACGTAACGTAATAGTTTCAAGATAATATTTATTGTGCATAAGCAACAAATACAACAGTGAACTATTTACATTTGAATGTCCCCTGGTGGGGATCAGCAGTAAGTTTAAGAACTTACAGCGCTAAAATCCGGGGTTCGATATTTCCTACGATGGAACACAGCAGATAGTCTAACGTGACTTTGCTGTAACACAAACAAAGTCGACTGACTGATGTGTGCGTCTGTTGACAACGGTTACTCGATCGTTGAGCATGAAATTGACGATATAAACAGGCCCGGTATGGCCAGGTGGATAAGGCGCTCGACTCGCAATCTGAGGGTCGCGGGTTCGAATCCCCGTCCCAACAAAC